GAGGAGAGACGTACATCAGGTCCAGAGCCAGTGAACGTGATCGGGCCCTGTTCTACCAATGCGTTTCATGCCTCATACAGGCCGAGCATGACGAGGCTTTGATAGCCAGATATAGCCCGGACTTCTCGGAACAGGCAACCTTATCCGGACCTGATGAGACCTGTTCACGATTTTCTAGTCGGTAAATAGCCGATTGAGTCACTACGAGAGTATCAGCAAGCTCCTGTTGTGTTTGACAACGATTTTCATTGAGTAGGTTGTCCAACTCCTCGTCCTCAACTTTTTTTGGTTGCCCAGGACGTTCTTCATCTTGGAGATCAAAATTTTCATCCCGAAATTTTTTAAACCACTTTTTACATGTGTTATAAGATACAGCACTCTCTCCCAAGGTCGAACAAATCATTTCTTGTACTTCTGCAGCAGTTTTTCGAACTTGGAAGGTAAAAAAAAGGGAGTGCCTCGAGTGCTGCTTGGCGAACGACATTTTTATTTACTATCTTTTTTGAGGTTGTGTTAATCGGACCACAATCGGCCTTGAGTGGTTTGATAGCTCACAGATGGCCCTTCAAAACGCCCGAAATTTTTTAAATTTAAATAGGTGTTCTAATCAACTTAATGTAGGGGCCGAAAATTAAGTCATACACCTAATATATTTGTGCCGATCTTTGCTTGTATTACGGAAGGTGCAGGAAGTGTCTAGAAGGGTCGTGAGGGAGAAGGATAGATTGATGTTTGTCTCGATTGTGAACGATATCGAACGCTCGAGACGCCTTATAAAGAATTCGAAATAATAATTTGTTGTGGCTCGCGCCACAAAAAATAATCATTTCAATATCGACTTTTGCAAAGAAATGGAGGATGGTGTTGGGTTTTCAATTCACTCAATTAGTCACTTCACTTTCTTGTCGATTTAGAGCACTGAATAATTTCTCAAACAGCAATCATTTGGAATTCGAAACGATTCACACAGAAAAATTTGGCGATTAAATACGGTTTTGAAATCGTAATTCACGTTTATCCCGAGTGTTATTTACAATATCAAACGAGTAAAATACTCGTTTGAGATCATAATACACCGGTTTCAGTTCGAATAAATAAATTGTATGGAGGCCGTAAAGGCCAAAATCGTCCTACGAGTGGCATCTGGCCACTGTTTTAGAGATGTGGGGTCTCGCGAAGCTTAAAAAAAATATCTCTTCTCGGGATTCGTTTTAGATGCAATCGTGCACTTTTTCACCGCATAGATCGGCATTTCATCTAGATCAACACTTCACTACGAAAACATGAAAAAACTGCTTTGTTCATACATTTCCCATACCAAATTTCTTCCTCAATTTTTCAATTCTTTTCAGCAACGAGGTCACATCAATGTAAACAATAGGAATTAAAGTGCGAAGGTTATTTAGTACGTTAGTTATGCTAACAGCCGCACGCGAACATGATGAGTAAATTATCCGCAAATTTGGTCAAAACACCCCAAAATAACGTTGATTGACTTTGATTATAGATAGTATGAAGTAAATTTGACTGTATACCTATATTACATATTTTTTCGAAACATAATCGAAGTCGTTTTGGGGTGTTTGAACCAAATTTGCGGAATCTCGAAAAGAATAAATCGAAAATAAAATAGATCCGGGAAGATCCCCAACTTGTATGACGGCTCAAAATACTTGTTTTAACTGTAAAAATTACTGAAAAAAATGAAACAAATCAAAAGTGACATAATTTGCAAAATTGACCTTTTTCAACTTTTTTTTTCGTTTTTAGGGATCTTTTTTTTAGGAATCGAAAAAAATATTTACTGGAAATAATCGTATAGGCAGTAAAAAATGGAAAATTTTGACGCTCAATAAATCAAAATCGGACAAATAGAAATCGAGTTATTGGAAAAAAACGAAAAAATGTAAAAAAAAT